CCATCCCTGGGGGGCTGCGATCTGTGAAACTGTCGCCACTTTCGAGGGCTGCTGGGGGGCCCAGCGGAGTGACGCACCTACGGGGATCAGATTAGACCTCGCCATCACTGGGGGGCTCGATTGTGAAACTGTCGCCACTTTCGAGGGCTGCTGGGGGGCCCAGCGGAGTGACGCCCTACGGGGAGCCACTTTAGGGCTGGGGGGCCCAGCGGAGTTTAGGGATTCAGATTAAACCTCGCCATCCCTGGGGGGCTGCGATCTGTGAAACTGTCGCCACTTTCGAGGCCTGCTGGGGGGCCCAGCGGAGTGACGCCCTACGGGGATTCAGATTAGACCTCGCCATCCCTGGGGGGCTGCGATCTGTGAAACTGTCGCCACTTTCGAGGGCTGCTGGGGGGCCCAGCGGAGTGACGCCTACGGGGATTCAGATTAGACCTCGCCATCCCTGGGGGGCTGCGATCTGTGAAACTGTCGCCACTTTCGAGGCCTGCTGGGGGGCCCAGCGGAGTGACGCCCTACGGGGATTCAGATTAGACCTCGCCATTCCTGGGGGGCTGCGATCTGTGAAACTGTCGCCACTTTCGAGGGCTGCTGGGGGGCCCAGCGGAGTGACGCCCTACGGGGATTCAGCTTAGACCTCGCCATCCCTGGGGGGCTGCGATCTGTGAAACTGTCGCCACTTTCGAAGGCTGCGTGGGGGGCCCAGCGGAGTGACGCCCTACAGGGATACATATTAGACCTCGCCATCCCTGGGGGGCTGCGATCTGTGAAACTGTCGCCACTTTCGAAGGCTGCTGGGGGGCCAGCGGAGTGACGTCCTACGGGGACTCAGATTAGACCTCGCCAGCGCTGGGGGGCTACGATCTGTGAAACTGTCGCCACTTTCGAGGGCTGCTGTGGGGCCCATGAAACTGTCGCCACTTTCGAGACCTGCTGCGGGGTCCAGCATAGTGACGTCCTACGCGGACGCAGATTGGACCCGTCATTCTACTTCGATTATCCCGCATCTGCGATCGACTGTATGTGTGCGAGGAACTAGACATGGAGTGGTCTGGCACTGACTGACGTCAAATCGTTGTGTGCCAGTGTCTCCTGGGGTGTTGCCTGATGTGGATGCAGCTCGTCGGCGCTGCGACTCGAGCTGGCGGTCGTCCTTCGGACCCGCAGAAACATCTGCTGAGCTCGATGAGCTAGGGGAACTACAGGAAAGAAGTGCAGGAAACGGAGGCCGGTCATGCACTCGCCGATACCTCGTTGCTCTGTCATCGTCTTTGCTGTTGCATGATCCTTATCTGGCCTGCCGGCGCCGCGGCTCGAGCTGGCGGTCGCCCTTCGGGCCCGCGGGAACATCTTCTGAGACAAGTGGACGCCGCCGCCTTACTTGCAGGCAGCGCATTGCATTCGCGGACAGCAGCATGGCAGACCGCAGTGAGATCCTCAGTCGCGCGGTGTTGCCAAGCCTGGTGGAGACGCGCGTGATCGACCTGAAGTCCCAATCGCGCGTGCACTGCGCCTGCGTGGCGTTCAGGCACGCGCGTGATGCTGCTCGCTCCGCGTTCAACCAGTACGTCGCCAGTGCAACTTTGGACGATGGACAACCGATTGATGATGCGCGACCCCGGCCTTGAGTTTCTTTCCCGCGGGCCGCCCGCAGACCTGGCGGCGCGCCTGCGAGCGTTCAGCTCCCGCGCTGAAATGTGCGGGAAGGAGGCGGAGAAGCTAGCGGGCGAGCTACGCCTCGCTCGTTCCTTGCACTCTAAACAAGTTTTATCATGTGGAACTCTGCGACGACATGGCGCAGGCAGCGCTGCGGGTTTAGCTCGCACTTGAAAAACGCGGCAGTCTTCTGTCTCCTCCCGCCACTTTCATCGTCGTCCTATTCCCCGCCTCACCTTCTCCATGCATGCTGCTGCTTCCGCGATGGCCTTTCGCCCCCCCCCCGCCCTCCATTCCATCCCTCTCCTACCCCTCGTTCCCGTACCCGTTCTTCTTCGATCCTGGGGCCTCAAGCCTCGTTCTTTCGATCGTCGTCCTGTGAATCGTGCAACGCATGCGCATCCCATGTAGCTTGCACAGCAAATCGCCGCGTCTACACTGTCGTTGTTCCTGCTAATGTTGGCATACTCCTCTTGCCATTTGATGCACGTGGGTTGGGTGCGTCGCAGGGTAATTTATTTTAAAATAAATAAAAAAAGATTGCGTTGTCAGTTTTGTTTTATATATATATATATATATAAAACTGTCTTTTCCAACTTTTTAAATTAAGAACTAATAAAAAGGTTGTGTTTTCCATGCTTTTAATTGAAAATGAATAAAAGCGTTGTGTTTTACATTATGTTTATCCAAAATCAATAAAAACGCTGTGTTTTCCTATTGTTTGAACAAAAAATCAATCAAAAAAAAAACCGTGTTGTCTAATTTTCTACATTCAGAATAAATCAATAAGAACGATGTGAGTTTCAATATTTTCATTCAACAACTACTGAAAACGCTGTGTTTTCAATGTTCTTAAATTGAAAATCAATAGAAAGATTATGTTTCCAATATTTTTATTCAAAAATCAATAAAAGCATTGTGGTTTCCAGCTGTTTAAAACAAGAACCAATAAAAACGCTGTGTGTGTTTTTTTTTTTTTTTTTTTTTTTTTTTTTTTTTTTTTTTTTTTTTTTTTATAAAAAAAAAAAAAAAAAAAAAAAAAACTCTGTGTTCTCCAGCATTTTTAATTAAAAATCTATCTCTCTCTATATATATATATAACATTATGTTTCCATTGTTTATATAAAAATCAATAAAAACATAATGTTTTTCAATGTTTTCATTCAAAAACTGATAAAACTATGTGTTCTCAAGCTTTTTCAATTGAAAATAAATGAAAACGTTAGGTTTTACAGCGTTTTTGCTGGATGTCCAAGGGAAGCGCTGTAAAGCACAGCGTTTTTACAGATTTTGATTGGAAAACATTGTAATTCCAATGGTTCCAATGAGTTCCAATGAATTCCAATGAAAATCATTGTAATTCTAATGTTCCAATGATGTTCGATGTCTCGGGATCCGGCGGGGGGCGCGCCTCTGGAAACCTAAAAAATCATTGGAACAGTGGAATTACAATGATTTTCATTGGAATTCATTAGAATTCATTTGAACCATTGGAATTACAATGTTTTCCAATCAAAATCTGTAAACAACGCTGTGATTTACAACGCTTCCTTTGAAAATCAAAAAAAAAAAAAAAAAAAAAAAAAAAGCTGTAAAGCACAACGTTTTTATTGATGTTCAATGAAAAAAGCTTGAAAACAAAACGTGTGTGTATTATATATATATATATTTTAAAAAAAAAAAAAAAAAAAAAAAAAAAAAAAAAAAAAAAAAAAAAAACACAACGTTGTGTTTTTTTTTTTTTTTTTTTTTTTTTTTTTTTTTTTTTTTTTTTTTTTTTATAAAAAAAAAAAAAAAAAAAAAACTACACAACACAATGTTGCTATTGATTTTTTAATAAAAAAACTGGAAACATAGTGTTTTTATTGACTTCCATTAAAAAGATTAGAAAACACAGCGTTTTTGTTATTGGTTCTTGTTTTAAACAGCTGGAAAACAATGTTTTTATGGATTTTTGAATAACAATATTGGAAAACACCATGCTTGTATTGATTTTTAAGTTAAAAGCATTGAAAACACAGCGTTTTTATTAGTCTTTAACTAAAAAGCTTGAAAACATAACGTGTTTATTGATTTTCCAATGTGAATCCTCTGGATGCGTGATCCGCCCCTTTTGTATTGAAACCCAATTGGCATCTAATTAGAATCCAATCAGAAATCCTCTGGATCTGGGATCCGCTGTCTTCCTATTGAAATCCTATTAGAATCTAATTATATTCCAATCTAAATCTTCTGGATGCGTGATCCGTCCCTTTTTGATTGAAATCCAATTGGAATCTAATTAGAATCCAATTGGAAATCCTCTGGATCTGGGATCCGTTCCCTTCCTATTGAAATCCGATTAGAACCCAATTAGATTTCAATCTGAACCCAATTGATGCGGAACCGTCGCATTTCTATTGAAATCCAATTGGAATCTCATTAGAATTCAATTCAGAGAGATAGAAAGAGAGAGAGAGAGAGAGAGAGAGAGAGAGAGAGAGAGATAGAGAGAGAGGGAGCGAGAGAGACAGAGAGGGACAGTGGAAGGGGGCGATAAAGCAGGAAACACACACACACAAGCCACCTACACAAAGATACCACCCTTACGGGGCCCAGGGTAGAACTTGAGCAAGGGAATACGGCCGCGGTGTTGCCACAAATGTCGACAAGTCGCTGTGTGTGGACGATTCGGGGCCATCTTGTTTCTTCTTTGTGCAAACGGCGGAGGGCGGCCTCGAGGGATGCGCCAGCAGTGAAGCGCAGACAGGGCACCACGCGCTAGTCTACCCAGGTGGCCACAGCCGAATTACTCATTGACCAAACATTTTCTTATATCTCGCGGCGCGGGACAGATGACGAGCTTCGGCCACTATCATTTCAGTGCCAGCAATGGCCACTTCCGAGGGGGGACCCTTAGCAGAGGCACGAGCTACGGCGCCCAGTGCTGGACGTCCCAGGCCTCCCAGGTGACGTCTCAGAGTGCGATCGCAGAGGCCGTGGGCGCAGAGGCAACGACGAGCGAGGCAATCAAGATCCCGCACGCCCCATCCGACGAGGTGGATTCGTTGTCTCACGCGCCCCGCATGCATGCACGCGTCGAGGGAGCAGGAGGAGGAGGAAGAGGCAAGGAGAGGGGACAGGCGGGGATGCCTCCAAATGAGGCTCGACACAGGGTGCATAAAAATGATCGGGACTCTGCGGAAGATACGCTCCGCAATCAATTTGAAGGTGGATTCAGCCAACGCGTTTGCCACTCGCACGGCGCGACAGGCGGCCTCTGAGGCTCTATTCACGTGCAGCAGAGAATCAAACTTGCGGACACGCGACGCCCCTGGCGCCCAGGCGCCCCAGGGCAAGGACGCCTAGACTCCGAGCACAGCCGAGGCGCGCACCCAGCCAGTCAGAGCCTTCAGAACCTGAGGGTCAGCGAGGTCGTCGAGGCGATGTCGAGCAACGTTCACCGCAACGGTGCCGAGCCCGCGGGCCTCGCACACTCGCCGAACTCGGTCGGGGACACAGGTGCAGAGCATGATGAGGCACGGCATCACTGTGGCATGCGCCCGCGCACGTAGCCACAGGCGCCTCACACGAAGAGCCACTCGTCGGTCATCGCGGGAGGCGCCTGCGCCAGCGCCGACGCCGACGCCGGCCTGAGGGGCGGCAGCGGCAGCGAGAAGATGCCCGTCCTCGCCATCGCGTCCATCAGGCCCAGCAGATCGCTCTCGACCTTCTGCCCGAAGTCGACCAGCGCGGGGTCGAGCTGACCCAGCCGCTGCTGCATGCGCGCCCGCTTGGCGTACCAGTTCAGAGACCGGTCCGTCCTCCACCTGCCGCGGCCCTTGACCTCCTTCCTCGCGCGGCGACCCGAGAGGAGGTCGTCGGAGGCCCCCCCGTGGCGCAGCGAGTAGAGGGAGGTCTGCTGGTCGGAGATCCCGAGCTGGACCAGGGCCTCCGCGAAAGCGCGCCGCAGCTGGTGCGGCGCGAAGGCCCAGAGGCTCTCCTCCGCGCGGCGTCCTTGCCGAAGCGCCTCGAGGAGAGGCCAGAGGAGCGGATCGTCGACGACGGCGCTCTCGTCGGTGACCCCCGTCTTGCCAGGCCTCCCGCTCGCCGCGTCGTTCACCAACAGTGCCCAGTGCTGGTGGCCCTCCGTGGCGCCCGACCTCGGCGCGATCAGGGGGGCCGCCGTGAGACGGTAGGCCTCGCTGGGGCGGAGGTACGTGTCGAACGCGATCCTCACGAAGACCGCCTGCGACAAAAGCCCCTGAGACAGCAGCACGCCCACGATGGCGAACATCGCGACCCTCGGCAGCGGCAGCCTCATCTGCGGCGGCACGAGCTTCGCCCAACCCTGAAGGGCCCGAAAGGCCCGCGGCAGCGGGCGGCTGCCCATCAGCATCGACGGCAGATGGTGCTTCAGAGAGGCCATCGCGACGCGGCCCGTCGCACTGTCGTGCCCGTCGAGGAAGAGGTGGACGAAGAACACCACGAGGATCGTGTCGAGCTCGACCCTGTTCTTGAAGTCCCTGGCGGTCCAGAGGCACCAGTTCAGAAACCTGAGGGCGGAGGCGCGGTAGTCCTTGCCAGTCGACTCCGAGACCGCGTTGGCCTCCAGCACCGACAGCCCGCCCCGCAGGAGCGTCAGCGGACCAGGATGTTCCCGCCTGGTCCTCGCAGCCTTGATCACCTCCTTGGGGGGTCCGCGGGCGGTGCGCGACGAGGTACGACCCGACGTCCTCGAAGCTAGGGCCGACGAAGAAACCTTCCCTCGACGGCTTGTCCGCGACATTCCTCTCTGACGGCGCCCACCGCACGAGCAGGCGCAGGCCGCAGGCGAGGGCCGCGCCAGCGATCCGCCGCAGGGCGCGGAGAAGCTGTCGGCTCCCAGACCGCCCCTTGCCGAGCGACAGAGCTAGAGCCAATTTGTCCACGATGCAGACGACGCGATGATGATGAGCACCCAGGGCCCTCGAGGCATGATGGACGCTGACCCCCAGGGCCTCCGCCTCGCACTGAAGGATATCGCAGCCACGGCGGGCATGACGGCTAGAGTGCATGGTCTTCCAACCCTCGGCCCCGTAGATGGACTCAGGGACCTCGAAGAACCCACTGGGCCCAGACGACGAAGCAGTAGAGGCAGTAGACGATGTGTCGGCACGGCAACCGTCGGCAGCATCGTCTCGACCGTCGACGTCAAGGGCATGTGATCTGGCAAGCACGGCATCCCCATGGCGATATCTCCAGCGTTCGGCGACTCGGCCGACCTCGGACGACAGCGTGGGGGAGACCTCCTTGACACAGGCACCCTTCCCGAACGGCGACGCATCAGAAGCATAGACCCGCGAATACCAGCGAGACCTTGTAGAGGCACTCCAGAGCGGGATGCGGGCCACGGCAGCCGACAACTCCCTGACGACCGAGGGCCACAGGGGTCCAGAATGAGGTCCCACAGCCCCCATGAACCGATAGACCGCGTTAAAGATGCTCAGAACGTCGCGCCTCAGGATCATCCCAAGTACAGTGGCCTACGAGCACGCTGAGGGCTCCAGCAGAGGCCCGCCCACGCTTCAAAAGCCCGAGAACGGCTTGACGAGTGCGAGCGAGGCGGTCAGGACGAACACGAATGATCCCAGAGGCTCCGTCGATCTCCAAGCCCGTGAATACCCCCTTACTGACCGCAGGGGAGAATACCAAGACAGGCAACCCGCGGGCCGTGAGAAGGTCAGCAACGGCACGCGCCAGGGACGTGGCTGTCTCGGCACACTTGGATACGACGCAGAAGTTGTCAACGTATCCTGCACACACCGCGTCCTTCTCAGCGACCAAGGGCCGAAGGCAGCCCCCATCCAGAATCATATCGCCACGGCCGAACCCGACACCCGACAGGGCTCTCGTCAGCGCACTCTGGCACAGGTGAAGGGCCCAACTCCACCCCATGGGAACGACCGTGACAAGAGGCTGGACGCAGTCGTTGATGCCGAGACGAACCCCGTTGACCGACTTGAAGCCGACGAATCTGTTGTTTATCGGTGGCAGAGAGAACAGCGACTCCATGCCAGCTGGCAGTCGTAAATGATAAAAAGCACACTGAATGTCGCCCTGCGCGAAATGAAAACTGTCGTCGCAGTCAAGGCTGGCCCGCGCGCTGGGCGTGGGCAGACGAGTGGCTGGTGGGCGCGAGAAACTGCAGTTGGCCAGCTGGTGTCGAATACCAACCTCAGCTTGCCGTTTGATTTCTGCACGAAGAAGAGACCAGTAGAGAAGGATGCCTGTTCGCTGGAGACCCGCCAGGTGATCATGCCGTGGGCCTCCAGCTGCTTCAAAAACTCAGCGTAGGACTTCGGCTTAAAGCGCAGCTCAGGATCGACATAGGGGCGGATACCCCCCAGCGGTTCGCGCAGCTCCGCCGCCACCGACTCGGGATTCAACATGCTCTGCCTCCAATCCTGCAGCACGATGGAGTCGGCCTCGGAGACGACGCCGCAGGTGGAGACTGCCTTCGTCGACTCGGGCCAGGCCACAAGCGGCGTGCTGTAGGGGCGCACTCGACCGCTGTCACCAGCGTAGCCAGGTGCCTGTGCGAGCATCTCTACGAGGGATGCTTCGCAATCGCGGCCTCTCTCCGAGTAGGCGGCGGGCAGCTCGAAGTCGCGGTGCGAGCCCGCGATGTAGTCCACTGAGGCCGCCTGGGCCGCGGACGGTGGCCCCCCTTCGTCAGGCATGGAAGGCTCGTCCTTGCCGCAGTGGAGCCAGTTGAGAGCAGACAATCCCTCGTTGCACCACTCTCTCCAGCCCGCGCCTTTGGCGGCGCGCAGACGAGCCCCACGACCAAGCGGAAGATGGCGACGCCCATCCACTGGAAGAAGAGGAAGCGGAAAAACGTCACGCTGGCGATGGTCACCTCGCGTGGGCAACTCCAAGCCAGGTGGGGCCTCGACGGGCTCGGGGCCAAGCTGGCCAGGCTCACGAGCAGGTGGCGCGTCGCGAGGCCCCTCCTGACCAGCGTCCTTCGGGAACGTCATGGCTGCCGCAAGGCCCGCTCCTCGCGAGCCTTGCGGCGTTCCTTCGCAACGGCAGCCTCGCTCTTCATCTGCTCAGCGATCCAATTCATTACGGGTGGGAAAATGCACAAATTGCCCATCGCCTCTCCAGTGCCGAGGAAGTGGCCGATCTCGGAGGAAACGTCGGCGGCCGCGGCCGCGGCGCCGTCCTTGGCCTGGCCCTCGGCCTTGGGCGCAGGGCGAGCCCTGCGCGCGCGCTCCTCAAAGAAGCGCCCCCCCACCATCAGCAGCTGCCGCGATAGGAACTCGTAAGAAGACAGCTTGCAGATGATCAGCTGGTCGTGGCAGAGCGAGGTCTCGATGACACGGCGCAGCGTCTCGCACAGCCTGTCGGCGTCGTCCGTCTCCGAGGCCTGCTTCATGGCCATCCAGCGATTGAGCCACGCCGTCGCCCCGCCCGCCATGCGGAGCATGAAGTGGAGCACCCACATCGTGGTCGTTAGGCCCTTCACGGGCCAGTCGGCGCGGGGGGTCTCGGTCTGGCGCTTGGCAGCGCCCCTGAAAGGCATGTCCCGCAACCCCCGCGCGTCGAGGACGGTGGCCAGCACGCGGGGATCAGACCCTGCGGCGCCTGGGGCCGCGGGGGCCGCGGCGGCGGCGCCGACGCCCGGAGGGCCAGCGGCGGCAGGCAGGGCGGCCCCCCCCGCGCCGAGCGCCGCAGCCAGCGCGCCCAGCCCGCCCACAGGCGTAGCGGCAGCCGCGGCAGGCGGCCCAGGGGCGCCCGCGGGGGGCGCGGCCGCGCCAGCCAAGGCCAGGGCGCCAGGCGCTGCGGCGGCGGGGGCCGCTCCGAGCGGGTCGAACACGGCCAGGGCCCCCTCCGCCACGCCCAGCACGTGGTCGGCGCTGAGCTCGAGGATGAAGGGCGAAGGCGCCAGAGGCCCATGGCCCTGGGCGGCGCCGCTACGCACAGCAGCCCAGGTGACGGCTGCAGACGGCAGCCGCCTGAACTTGAAGAGCTTGTTGGCGGCGACGCCGACGATCGCGTCGCCATGGCACGCCGAGTCATGCGCAGCTCTCGAGTCACCACCTGCCGAGTCGCTCTCAGCATATACCTCATCGTCAGGGGTAAGGATGTACCCAGGCAGCAGAGTGAGTCTCTCGTGGTGGATAGCGGGCGCCCCGACGTTGTACCGAAAGTAGTGGAACTGTCCAGCGGCGCGAGCAACCATTCCACCTAAAGGCGGAACTTCCTCGCCTGGGTAGTCGCCGCAGTCGCGAGGTCGAGAGTGTCCGCGGCCTCCTGAAGCGATGCTGGAGCGGGTGCAGGCTGCACTACGAGGGCCGTCAGCGAGCTCTTGAAGCAGTAGCCGCCAACGACGCTGCCGTACGCGAAGCCGCCCACCACGAGCACGACCACGAACTCGATTGACCAGCCTGTCGGCTGGGCAGAAGCCAGCGAGCCTTGCCAGTCGAGCAGCGGCACTCCACCGCTGGGCAGGCCCGCGCAGGAGAGCAGACGCAATCGAAGAAGGGCGTCGAGCTGCCGCGCACGGTGATGGCAGCGGAGAGGGCACTGTGAGGTCGGCGTTGACCCGCTCAAAGAATGAATGCTTGCGTTCCTTCAGAACTTGGGCAAGGGAATACGGCCGCGGTGTTGCCACAAATGTCGACAAGTCGCTGTATGAGGATGATGACGATGATGATGTTGCTGATGGTGACGATGAACAGAATACAGTAGTGAACTTCTAGCACTGAAAAATTCGACCGCGATATGGTTTCACCAGTACCGCTGCCGCGGACCACGCCATGCAAAGGGAACCGACGGGAGCAGGCGCCCCGCGCCCGCGGAGACGGCCCAGAGGACGACGAGGGAACGAAGAAGAGGAAGACAGCGCCGCAGTATGGTCTGGAGGAGGAGGAGGAGGAAGAGGAGGAAGTAGAAGGAGGAGGAAGAGGAAGAGGAAGAGGGGGAGGGGGAGGGGGGAGGGGGAGGGGGGAGAAGGGAGGAAGCCCTGAATCAAGAACGACAACAGAACGAAGAAGAGGAAGACGGCTCCAATGGCGTATGCTAAAGTTGCTGCGGTGAAGCAGCTCGTAATTGGATTTCCGCCGAAGACGACTGGTCCACCCTCTGGGGGAGCATCTGGGGGCCGAGGGGGAGAACCGACGGCCCCAGAGCGCAGAGACGGCAACGCGAGGGGAAAAGAAGCACACATGGAGAAAAGAGAGAGGTGCAGAACGATGCGGCTGGACGAGAAGAGACAGAACGACAGGAATCGCAACGACGAATACAGCAACAACGCGGAGAGCCATCTGTCGAGCTGCTGGTCGGCGAATCCCGCAGCGCCAGACAACTTCGGACGCCTCATAACACCCAGCTCGGAGGAAGCAACCTCCAATAGTGACCCCGTGGCAGCGCGCTTCCTGCGAGCCATCCTCGAAGCAACAAGAGCCTTACTGCGGAGCTTCCTGTTCCCGCCAACTCCAGCGACGGATGCAGCCACTGTATTTGTTTGATCATCTGGATGGGCCAACTGATCCGTAGGGGTCACAATGAGGCGAACAAGTGTACTGTTCGCAGCAACCTGCTGCGCGATCATCGCACCTGGACCAGGGGAAAACGAAGAAGGTCGGCAGAAACAACAGACGTGCCAGGAGCGGCACGACATTCTGCCAGCCTGGGGGAAATTGGAACCTCAACAAATCTAGGCGGCGCGCCCAGGGGGGGGGGGGGAGTGAGAAGGGGCGGGCCTTTTCGACAGCCCCCCAGCCGTCTGAGAAGCTGCCTTGGCCTTCCCTTTGGCAGCCCCCCAGCCGTCTGAGAAGCTGCCTTGGCCTTCCCCGAAGACACAGGAGCTCAGAAGGCGCGAGGGCTGCTGAGAAGACCCGCGGCCTTCTGAGAGGGCCGTCTCCTTCTCGCTTCCCCCCCTCGCTCGCCTACCGAAAATGGGAACCTCAGCAGATCGTCCGTCGGCCACGACGTCTGGATCGTCAAGATCGGCCTCACACGCGAGCGATCCTCGCGGCGGACCGCCCCTGTGAAGAGGGGCAGAACAGACCTCTCACTGGCAGCAGGCTCGGGAAGAGCCCCTAAGACCTCCTGGTATATCAGCAGCAGGCACGGCAAGAAGCGCCCGGCCCAACAAGGAAGAGTCACACGACCCACTTGAAGATCGGCACGCCCACCAAGAAGAAAACGCGCACCAAGCCCGAGAAGATCGCCACAACTCGCAAGAAGATCCAAACCCGGCTCCAGAGGATCGTCGCGAGACCTGCAGGAAGACCCTCACGATCCCTTGGAAGCACACCAAGCACAGGATGACAAACTGCCCAAAACGATTCGTCGAGAATATCAGTATGAACAACATCAGTACCAGGAAACACCGCACCACCGCCAAGAAAAGCAACTCGACCCACCGGAAGATCAGCACGGCCCTCGTGAAGACGACCCGCACCAAGCCCTGGGAGATCGCCGAGACCCACGGGAAGATCCACACCAGGCACGGACATATCGGCACTACCTCCAAGACGATCTCCACGATCCGCAAGAAGCCCTGCTGGCACAATATGATCACGATGAGCAGGAAACGCACGGCAATCAAGCATTCAGCGTCCATCGCCAGGAAGCTCACGACCAGCACCGTCAGGCAAGCGTGTGCCGACGAGGCGCCTTGGCAGAGGACCAGGGCAGCCAGCCGCCGAAGCCGATGGAGCAGCAGCTGCCGAACCACCCGCATCAGCATGCCCAAGCCTCGGACCACGCCGACGCCGCCGTGAACAGCGGCCTAGATCATCATCACCGTCAGAGCGCGAATCGCTGCCGGCTGGCCTTTGGTCCCAAGGGGCAGAAGGAGCACGCCGAAAGTGACGAGGCCGAAGCTGCACGCTCATGTGAAAGGATCCCGATGAATGACGATGGCCATGGTCAACGACAACGTGGGAGTCGAGATAATGAAGAGCATCCCAAAAGCGACCTGCATTGCGAACGTGTTCGTGGGCAGATGGATGGCCAGGAAAGTGATGGTGCAGGACACTGTGCATGTTCATCCCGCGACTCGAAAACGTATAGGCAACACGCGAGGGGCGACCAGACTACAGCTGCCCACAGATCCACCACAGACGTGAAGCCACCGCCCTCCGCGAGCCGCAGCACCGGCAGCAGGGGCTGCAGGTGCAGTGGGCAGGGGCCCGTGGCTCATGCAAACGCGGGAGCCCACATAGTGATAGTGATGATGGTGGTGATGCGGCTGATGGCATGATGACGGTCAGGATAATGGAATGATGCTGTGGAGTAGGAAAGGTGCAAACCCATAACGCATCCACGATGTTGCAATCACCCTCCTTCCAGGTTCCCTCTCCAGAAGTCTCTGCATACGAGAAGTGATTCTTATTGCTAGAGGTGCCCTATTGGAAGACAGCCGTCTGATAATCCCCAACTGTGCCCAACAAAGACTCTTCCTGGGACTTCAGCGCCGCGAGTCAAGTGCGTTCTGACAACCCTAGATCGTACCAAAGCACCATGATTGGGACTTCAACTTCGCGAAGCAACGTGACTGTTGCGCCCTGACAAACCTAAGCCGTTCCTGTGACGTCGCGCATACGAATTCATGAAACTGCTGGGAAATGTCAAGACGAACGCGCGCGGCTCTAATGCGAGAGCCACATCTTCAAAGACGACAGCCCTCCATCCTCGAAGCTGCTTCAAGCTTTCAAAACGCATGCGCGCGGGGATGAGGCGAGAGTCACATGTTCAAAAACGGCCCGCCCTCCATCCCTGAAATACTGAAAACGTTTAGGAATAATGCATGCGCGCGGCGCAAGACACGAGAACCACATTTTGAAAAACATCCGCCCTCCATCCGTAAAACTATCGCACACGTAGAAAACGGATGTGCGCGGCGCTAAGGCGAGAACCACATTTAGAAAACCACCCGCCCTTCATCCTCGAATCTGCTGCAAACTTTCAAAACGAATGGCCGCGGCGCTAGCGCGAGAACCACATTTAAAAAAGACCCGCCCTCCATATGTGAAGCTGTTTCAGGCGAAATGCCCTACCCGCCCTACCGACACGTCCAGGGGTGCGACGGGGAGGAGTTATCTATCAGAGAAAGGGATGGCGGGAGGAGGAGGAGGACGACGACGAAGACGAGGAGGGAGGGAGGCGCCAGAGGGGGATGAGGAGGGTGTGGGGGGAGAAGGAGGAGGCGATGGAGGAGGAGGAAGGACAAGGACT